ATAGGTAAAACCAAAATGAAGTAATTGGCATTCTGTAAAGCAATATAATTGAGAAATTAATCTCAAAACTGGATACTTACTGGGGTGTTGGGAGGAGAGATAAATAGAAAAATTGCTGGCAAGTAAAATTGCAGGACAAAAGGGACAGAACACAAATATGCAAAGTTTAAAACAGAATATGTAACAGTAAATAAAAAACTTAAGAGATCTTGTACTTTAAAATCAATATTAATACATTTGAAAATCTCAGTGAAACATACAATTTTCTAGGAAATGTCTTTCCTAGAAAAACTGACTTAAAGGGAAATAGAAAATGTAAAAGGAAAAAAAAATTATTACCAAAGAAAACTCTAAGCCTAGATGTTTTATGAGGATATTCTTTCAGGATTTCAAGGAATAAGTAATTCTCGTGCTATCTTTACAATACTTTACATAGCCTAGGAAATGAAGGAAAGCTTTCCATTTCAACCATGAACTCTGGTAATAAAAATTAACAAAGATAGGACAAATAAAGAAAAACTACTCTCATTTATGATTACAGATGCAAAAATAACAACTGCAATATGAGCAAATAAAATTAGTCGGTACATTAAAACAAGACTACACCATGACTAATCAGGGTTTATTTCTTCAGCAAATTTGGAAAACAAAAACCAATAAGATATGCCATAAAATAAAATGCAATTCTCATGGAAACTCCTAATAAACTATGACTAGAATGTTTTTTAATAATAAAGAATGTCTTAAATATCTTAATACTTAGTGGTGAAATGTTAAAAACAATTCCATAAATTAAAAACTGCACAAAATACCTTCTATCATGTGTGTTACTTAATATCATTCTAGGTTTGTGTAATATAAGAAGAGATGAAAAAATGTGCATATAACTGCCAAAAAAGAGAAAACACATCAGCTGAAATATGACTAGATCTAATAAGTTCAATAAAGAGAAAAGTTATAAAATGAACCAGTGAAATTCATGAGCATCCCTAAATACGATAACAAAAAGAAAATAGAATGAAAATATTTCATTCATAAGAGCAAGCAAAAATATTAAATATTATAGCAAAAACATCAAAAGAAACATGCAGAATCTATATTTAGAAAATAAGTCATTGTTTAGGGACAAAAAGAATAAATGATTTTGAATGAAAAGATTCAATACTACAAAGATGTCAGTTCATCCTATAGTTTCACATACATATAATATAAGCTTTCAAAAAATTGTTTTGGGATTTTAATTGACAATTAAATTAAAATAATCCTAAAATAAACCTTAGAGAAGTATGCTAACACCTTAAAGAAAATTATGAATGTAGTCTTATAATATTTACTTTTCAAAGACACTATAAAGCTACAGTGATTAATATAGCACAATACTAATAAAAGTTTAGATAGATCTATAGGCTAGAAGCTAAAACTGAGAAACGGTTTCAAATACGCAATCAGTATGATAAAAGATGTTTTTTCATGTCAGAAGAGGTAAGATGGTTGTGTAATAAATAACAGAGATACTTGGTTAATGGCTTGAGAAAAAAATTAAGTTGTATTTCTGTTGAAATTACACATCAATTGTATTCAAGAGGAATTAAAGAGATAAATGAATAAAAATATAATCAAAGAATTGAAACAAAATATAGCAGATTGGAGGAAGCCTTTCTAAACAAACCCCCAACATAAAAGAACATTAAAAAGGAGGGAACGATTTGACAACAAAACCATAAAGTAAAAGAAAATGATAAAATGTAACATATACGATGGGTAAAGGTTAATACCATTAAAACATACAGTGAGAGCCTTACAAAAACATAAGATCTAGACAAATCCTTTAAAGGAAAAATGGACAAACAACATAAATAAGCAATTCACAAAGGAAGAGACATTTAATACAAATAAATTTATGTCAAATGCTTCATTCTCTATAAGAACCAAAGAAATTCAAATTAAATCAGCAGTAGTGTATTCTTTTCCCCTACCAAAACCAGCAAGAAGTTTTTAAAGTAATAGTACTTGTTGAGGACAACGGAACACTCGCAGATACTAAGAGCGGCACACCGTGCCCTTTCTGTTGGGCAGTTTGGCAGTATGAATCCAGACTTTTAAAAAAAGAACCCATGCTTTGACCCAGGAATCTCACTTTTTAGGAATATGTCCTAGGAAAATAACCACTAATTAATATCAAAAATTATTAAAAAGTTATTCATATTCAACTTTTTCTTTATAATGACAAATAATAAAAAACTACTTAAATGTTGAATAAGAGACTTGGTTAAATTATAAGAACTTCACTTTATGCAATATTTCTTTAAATAAAAATTGCATTTTAGAGGACTTAAATAACTTAATGATAGAAATTCACAATGTATCATTAAGTGGGAAGAATAGCTCATACAAGGATAGTAAAAGGATGATTCTAACTTTAAGGAAAAAAGATTTGGGTGCCTGGGTGGCTCAGTGGGTTAAAGCCTCTGCCTTCGGCTCAGGTCATAATCTCAGGGTCCTGGGATCTAGTCCCGCATCAGGCTCTCTGCTCAGCAGGAAGCCTGCTTCCTCCTCTCTCTGCCTGCCTCTCTGCCTACTTGTGATCTGTCTCTGTCAAAGAAATAAATAAAATAAAATAAAAGATTTAACAAGTACATGTATTAATTAAAATGGAAAGGACCTACAACATGACATAGGTAGAATTAATTAACTAATTAATTAATTTTATTTTGTATTTCTATATTTTTACACTAAATATGTAAAAAGGGAATTTGCTATAAATTCATTTATAACAAATTTTGTAATGAGGGAAAAATAAAAGGTATTAAAAAATTCACAGTGCTTAAGATATAAAATACTGATAAGCCATAATAATATGTATGGGGGATAGTATTTAAATCAATTTAAAATTTCAGAATAATTATAACTAAGGTGGATAATAACTAACTAGCCTGATCTCACCTGGACTAAAAATGCATGTTGAGTTTTAGCAGTGGTTGAATCAAACTATCTGAACACAATTTAAACTAAATTTTATTTCAGTTCTCATTATATTATTGGTATGTTTTCTGTATAACACATATGGTGACAAAATACTAGGTTGTAAAAAGAAACAATTATGTAAAGTAAATAAAAATGAAAAATTTAGTAAGAATCATACCTCCTATGCTTATAAAACTGAGAGCAGCTCACAAGTGAAAAATTCATATATTACATAAAGAATCCAGAAAAAAAGGTAAAGAATTTGAAAAGCCTAATTTTGTATGTGTTTTTGCTTTCAAGATTTACACATTTTTCCCCAAGATTTAGACATTTTGACCATCTCAGGCTAGTACAGTTTTCACGTTATAAATTCATATTCAGAATGAAAAAGAAAGAAAGATGGAAAGGGGTCAAGAGGGAGGAGATAACCCAAAGCATAAAAATTTGGTGTTGAATCATAACATAATAAAATGTTAGCTTCCACATGACTAAGAAAAAGCAAGACCCCCATCATTCATGCTGGCAAAAGCTTGCCTTTGCATAAACCATTTCTGTTCTCACTGTTGTAAAACCAATGACTTCGGAAAGGACAGAAAACCCAGAATGACATGCAAAGTAGCACACAACATGTTATTGCAGCTGGATGGAGAATATGTCTCTAATGACTTTCTTTCTACCCATCAGTTGTAAGTTAAGTTTTTTTCCCCCAAAATAGCAAATGGCCTTTATGAGTGAGTATTGTACAGAAGCAATAAAATTTAAAATAATATCAAATTTCCACTTAATTTTAATACTGTATTAGTTAATAGAATGAGTTACCAATTATTTCCTGGGAAAGAGATGACTACCTTTTGTCTTCATTTGAATTGAACACAACATGCCTAAACACTAGACAATTTTCTGTAACAAATTAAAAATACCATTTTCACCAGATAGTTATGGCCAGATATTTATCTTAAATGAGACATTATCCATTACCAATAGGAAGATTCACCTAAGTTGTTTGACAACTTCACAAAACTAACGCAAATTCCCAAATTGTTAGTGCAAATCAGAGTGATGACTGTAAGAGATACCTTATAGAATTAATTAATGACCATGGATTCTACTCATGATACCAAAACTTATACAGTCCTTCTTCTCCACAAAAGCATCAACAAGAGAGATTTATGGAAGAAGAAGCACTTCCTGACTGATACGGAAACTTAATTTTTAATGGTTCTTAACATGTTTCAAAATAATAGTATTAATCACACATCTTCAGAACTATAGATGCTCATCCTCAGCAGGGTCAGAGGTCATGAAAAGTTAAATCTTATGAAATCTGGGTGAGATTAATCAACCTATGATTCTATGGGTATCTTAATAAAAACAGCAACCACAATTTAACCTAATGAGTGTTTTCTAAGTGCCAGAAACTGTTCTCAAAGCTTTACTGTATTAATCCTCTTAATGAGCCTATGAGGTAGAAACTCTTACTCTCCCATTTTGGATACAAGTAATTAGAAACATAGAAAAGTTCAGTGACTTGCCCAAAGTCACTCAGCTGCTAAGTGACAGAGCCAGGACTTAAAAATGGTAGCCAAGCTTCAAAATCCACCCATAAGCCGTTACGTACAACACATTCTATAAACTCTTTTTTATAGGTGCTACCCTTGACCATTTTTGACCAGAAGAAATTCAAATTAATGATTTGGATTCATAAATTAAGCCATTATTATGATTTCAAGAGAAAAGACTAAAATTATCCTTAATTTAATTTGTCCTTCATCTTTTGACATTTGCTTCTTTTTCATACCTTTCTGTTAAGTAAATTAATGAAACAATTTATCTAATAATTTATATGTTTATAGACTAAAAAAAAGAGAAGGCAAGAATTTCATTCTGTAAACATTATAGGAACAAAAGTTCAAGGACACACTATACATTTACCCTCTCATATACAAACAAATATTAAAGGTAAGAATTTAATTAGGGTACAGAGAGCAGTAAGCATGTTCTCCACACTGGTATGTTTGATATTTCATATATTGTACCTTTAATTTCTCCAAGAAGTTCACTGGTATTTAGTCTTTCCATTTTTTCCTTCCAATCTTTTGAAAGTAGTTTTTCCATGCAGGAGGAATCTATTAGAGTAAAAAAGTAAGGATTAAATATATTACATATGTATTTTTTAGGTATTAAAATATTACAAATCTAAAAAGCCAGTTTATGGAGAAATTCTCTCATTTCAAAGTTATTTTTCATTGTTCTTTTAACCCTAGGATATAGACAATTATATTATTGTATCTATCACAAAATAACACAACTGAATTTATTTTTACCAGAATATTATTTGAACTATTCCCAGGAAAAAAGACAAGACAAAAATAATTTTGTCTTGGTATTATAAATATAATTCTATTAATATTCAGTCAGCATTTATCATTTTTTAGACTGATAGGACAGAAAAGGGGGTTCTTTTCTATGATAGGTTTAAGTTTAAATGTTGGTCCTTTTAATTCAGGTGATTTTTTTTTTTTTAAGTCTAAGCAAAATTAATGTTCTCTTCAAGGAAGAATGACAAATCTTCAAGGGAGAAGAAGCCAATCAAAGTGTAACCACTTAGTCCTTAAAAAAAGAAATAAAATATGGCAATTTTTGTAAAATATCCATTTAGAGAAAAATTCAAAGAAAATAAAGTCAAGATATTCTCTGTCCCTCAGTAATAAAAACTACTAAAACTTTTCTCTTATATAGAAAGGGATATATATTCTTATAAAGGAATACTCAGTTAAACACTACTTTTCCAACTGCATACCTAAATAACATACTAGATTATTGGGAGTGATTATAGTTGTTTCTATAAAGATTCATAAAGGTTATAGAAATCTAAATTTTAGAATGTCCTAATAATCAGCAAAACTTTCTCAATGAGTTTTTTTTTTGTCTCTATTCACATGGGTTTGCAACTAGAGCTACTGCTTACAACTATATATATATATACTTTTTTTTAAAGCTTCAAATCTTAACAAATAGGCCATGTTTCCAAAAGGGAATGCAGATTTAAATACTAAATCCTCAGTGAAAAGCACACTTGTATTTAACTTTAACATTCCAAGTGTCAAAATTCTGGTAACTTCTTTTTAAAATTATATTTAAAATAGTTACTCCAATTCCAAATGCCTTTCCTCTCCCATATCAGTACCTATCTCTTTAGCATTTTCCCTTTCCTTTTTTTTCTCCAACTTCTAAATCTCCTTGAATTTTTTAGAATGACACTAAGGTCAAGATGGATCTAAAGGGTTTTAGAAACTAGATAAGCTTTAAAAAAAGACAGTGAGCCCTGGGTAAGAAATGAGAACACCGTTGCGTCGTTAGAAAGTATTGGTGAAAACAATTAACATTTGTCCATGACATGATCAATCAATCAAGGAATGGATGGAATCCAGATCAGTGTGCCATGAAATGGCTGATGAAGAACACCAACCATTCCAGCTCGCTATCACAGAAACTAAAATTCTTTCTAAATAGAAGTCAGCTTGGTTCTATTAAGTGAAATCTCACTGCGCATTCCCATCCCTCTTCCCTTTATCTTTCCCTCCTCCTTTTATTCTATTTGTTCCTATTTATTTTTTTAGGCTTCAACAAGTGCTCTACTACCATGATTAAAAATTGGACACTGAGTGACCTTCCAAAAGGAACTATGTGCATATACATATGCCAGTTTGCATTTAATTTCCAAAATGTTCTCTTGCTACTTTTATTTCAAATTCAAAAATAAGGTATGTACTTTGTTTTATACACATTTTGTTTTCATGTTAAAGTAATAAAAATGAAAATACTAAATTTGGGAATTAAAAAGTAAATCCTCAAAGCCATACCTAACAGAGATAAGTTTTTCCCAAAAACAGTTTAAATTTCTGAGAGAGATCAATGGAACATCAAATCATGGATAAGAATAATCAACAAAATGTCTTCAAGTTCCTATCCTACCCAGTTCTGTTAGTGCTTTTTCTTTTTTAACCCTTTCATACATGTTGTAACATTGCACTAAACTGATAATCAATGATATAAATGCTAAAGCATAATTTGTTTGGTTCAAATTTGAGTTGAGAGTATATATTATAATAGTAAAAGACAAAAGCCCAATTTACTAGTAATGATCACAAATTCAGAGCAAGTTCATAAACTAGGATTAGATACACACTAAATGTAAAACAGGCTAAAATATGTCTCTCATTTCTATAAATAGACCTGAAATCTTTCAGAGCTCCAGGAAAAGAATGCTGAAGCTTCATGGGAGAAAAATAGAACTGTATGGACAACAGGAACACACACTTCAAACATAAATCAGACCATGTGTACACAGCTTCACATAAAAGCTACTCATTAATAAAATGGTTAATAACATCAAAGCATTTCACATTCCTATTAAAAAATTAATCCTCAACATAATGCTGAGTTAATCTTGTTAATATGAGTTCCCATTTCAGTAGAAGAAACTGAGGGGGAAAAAATTAAGCAGGCTTTCTATGTTTATATTTATAACTCATGAAAATATTTAATAACAATCACTGATTGCTTTTCACTACAGAACAAAAGAAGTCACTGCATATAGCCTTATCAATTTAACCTCAATTCTAAGAAATTCCAGGAAGATTCAAAACTCAGGAAGTCTCTTGAAAAACTCCCCTCTGTCTCACCTAATTATCTGACTGCCAAACCTCAAAGGGCATGCCACAATTAGTTTTAGCATGCTCCATACCGTAATGTAAAGCAAGTAAGATGAGGGGGGGAAAGATCAGAAGATACAGAGTATTAACAAATACCACACAGGTGAAGGACACTACTGCTACCCCTGAGGCGTTTCTGACTTGGAGTGAGGAAATATATAATAGATAAAGTTGTAAATGAAAATTTATGTTTTAAAATTTCCCACTCAATCCAATATCCAGGTAAGGGTTTAAATTAAAAGGATTCATCCTCTATGTGGCACATCCTTCAACTACCTTAACAGGACACTAGCTTTACAGAGGTAATTGATCAGATCAGACTTAACCCCATTCTGATCACGCACAAAGGCTAAAATCAAAGAGGTGAGAATAAGTCAAGAAGTCCAGTTTGTATTATGTACACGGGAAGAGTAAGACCACACAGACTGGCTTTAACTCAGTAGTCATGGAGGATTCCAGATGCAATAAAAGGACCTAATATCACTTAGATATTCTTGGACTATTTCATACAGAAAAATACGTTTTAGGCAATTGACTTGAGAACAGCCAATATACTTAGACAGTAGTTCTGCAGTTCTCAAAACATGAAATAATATATAGCATATTTTACTATCTGAGTTTGATTATTCAAATTTTAGTATTTTGACTGAACTGCCTTCAGCTAAAAAATAGGAAAGAAACTACATACTTTTTGGAAATTAGGAGAAAGAACCACAACATTACAAGATTTAAAAAAATGTCACCATGAAAAAAAATAAATAAATAAATAAATAAATAATAAACAAAATTTTAAAATGTCACCATGAAATGTACACATTAAAAAGAATGTAAGCCATAATATTTCAGCATAAAAGGGGAAAATGCCAAAATTAGCCCAACTTACTTTGAAAGGATTAGTGTCCATAAACTAATACATATTCAGTGAAATGCAGGATTTTATTACATTTATCTTAGGTAATTTTTGTAAATAATGCGATTAAAACAAAATTCAAAAATCAAGAGGTGTACTTCAATTCTTGCTTATATTTTAATCAAGGATGTAAAAGGCTTTGACATGTTAAAATTCATTCGCAGTCACAGTTTTTTGTTTTTCTCTTTTCCTTTGCATTTTAAGTTTTTTGAGAAACTTCTAAAGAAAAAAGTAAAAATACTATTCAGAAATAATTTTTAATAAATACCCTGCATAATGGATTGCAAAGCAACATTTCTGCTTCCTAAGTATCAAGGTTTCAGGCCAGGTGAGTCAAGAATGCTTTATCATGCTAACAATTAATTTCATCATACAAGAGAAATTTGAAGTGAGAGTATGTGAAATATTTATTTCTTAACCTGTGTGAGAGTATTTTAGGAATAATTTTAAATTATTCTTAGTTAAACAAAGCCACAGCAATATTAACTCCTATTCTGCACAAAGTGAAAGTATTTAAAACGTACCAAAGAGAATAAATAAATAAATCATTGATTGCTAAAACTACAGCACAGGGGAAGAGGAAAGAATAATGGGAAAAAATTTTAGGGCACAGGTACTTTAAAACAATTCACCTGTGAGTAAACACTATTCCTTCTGCCTCAATGTGATGAAGTTATAAATTCTAAAACATTAGAAACATGACATGAAAAATATCTTTAAAATATTTCAGTGAGAAAAAAACGACTGCTGCCACAGTATGCAGATTTCTTCTTGCTTTAAATCTTTTAAGAGAATATTAAATCAATTCCTTTTATTTTTACAATAAGAATCATAGATTTCAAATGCAATAAATTTTTTATGTGTTCAAGAACAATGGTAAATTATCAAAAGTACCTTTGGCCTTGGTTTACTACTAGTTCAGACTATATACATGTATTTATCCTCCAGCTGATCATCCATCCCACATTTTTCATTAGGAAACAGAGATGCACATGCCAGTTACTGTACATTTTTCCACAGTGACAAGTGCTCCACAATACAGTGGGATAAAATTGGAGCTTGGAGAGCTTGAAGAGCACTCTTAAATTTTAATTAAAACCCTCCAAGCTCACTAAAAATAATTAGACACCAAAATGTGCCAGTTTTATTTTGAAGTCACTATAACGTACAAAGCACACTCCCTGACGAATGCTCGTGCTGTCCTTCTCTCTCTCCCCCTCTCTCCAATGAAATAACTGATTTTCCAAATACGAACAAGGGGGTATAAATAGAGACTGTTTTCAGGCCTGCTCTTCATGCTGGGAAGCTGACAGAAAAGAGAGCAGAATGGGTTTTTCAGACTGCACCAAATGAACCTAGAATAACTTGCCTTCACAGAGTTCGAATCACTGACAAACTCTAGATAAAATTCAGTCTGCAAGAAACACGAGTTATATCACTGATCTTTTTTGATCCAAAAGCCAAACCTTTAACCTCTTAAATGTTTTTGCTATCTTAAAAT